TGTGTGTGTGTGTGTTGATGTCGTGTTGTTATTTGGCGTAGAAACCATAGAGGAAACCATGTGACCTGCTGTGAAGCTGTTGTTTTTGGTTCATTTTCAAACTTCAAACTTCAACCTTTTTACTGTTTATTTTGTTAAATTAAATTTTATTTTATTCCTCACTTTTTGGTTCTGGTTCTAATTCATCATCCGTGTCTGATCTCACACACGGGATCCCGTCTTTTTTTGGTTCCTCCTGTGCCTCCCCCCGCACCCCCCCCCTGTATCTGCAATGCAGCAGCACTGCAAGCTCTGTCTGCGGGACCAGGGCTTGGCTTTGCCAAAGGAGACACTCGTCTACTCTCTCTCTCTCTCTCTCTGTCTCTCTCTCACCTTTCTGGCCAAACAAACAGCTCCCTCGACAACAACTGCCTGGTCATGACTCTTCAGTTTCTTAAAGATTTACTGTCGCTCCTCGACCTGCCGCAGCGTTTTGCATTTCAAACAGCGTTCAGAGAAGAAGCTGCAAACTCTGCAGTGTCAGCGCGTTCCCCCGAGTGACAGAGTCTGAGGTCACACTTAGAGCCGGGCGGTGAACGCCTGAAGGTGTAGATCAGTGACAGTCACTGTCACTGACTGTAGTTCTGTGATGATGGGTGTAAGAAGAAGTCAGTTTGTCCTTGACCTCATCAAGGTCAAGAACATGATCCACACCAGGGCCGGCTCCAGACTTTCTGGTGCCCCCGGGGTTGAGGCTTGGCGCCCAAACCCCGCCCCCCTCAAATATTACTGGACGACAACCACACGACAGACCACCGGGGTTTAATTGTCATATTATACATATTATTAAATAACAGTAAAAACAACAACCCCAGAGCTGTGGCTCAGGTCTGGGGCAAATATTTAAAAAGCTCCTGCCAGCTCTCAGAGTGTGAATAATAACATCTGACGATACGATGTGTATCACAATACAGGGTAACGATACGATATACTGCGATACTATAGTCTCAGACTCTGTTCCGTCTGAACACCAGGGGGTGATTCACTGCTACGTGATGATCTGCTGGATGTATTTTCTTCTAGAACAATCCTAAAATCCTCTCTCCTCATTCTCTCTTGGTCTCAGATGGGAAGAGGAATACACCATGAGGATGGACCTGCAGCAGAAGATCGCCGACCTTCAGGAGGTAACGATCCCACAGTCGGACAAACAGCCGAGGAAAACAAAGCACTCACTTCACATTCATCACAGCCTTTCAGTCCTGACGCTGTCGACCAGCCATCACAGTCGGCAGCATCACATCTCATTCATTTTAAACAGAAGATGATCCTCCTGTCAGCTAATGCACTGTCACTGCGACACTGTGTCTGTCTGTGCGATGATTGGCTGGTCTTGAACACCTTCTGTAATCTGTGCCAGACGTCAGCAGTTGACCACAAACAAACGGTCAGTGCAGTAACCAGTGTTAAATCATGTATGAATAGGTCGACAGGAAGAGGAGGCGACGATGATGTCATCAGACGGAGCTACAGCTCCCAAAGGAAGTCGTGCTTTTAGGGACTCGGGTTTCACTGATGTCTCTGCAGATCAAAGACGGGGAGGAGTTTCCAAAAATAAAATGTAGTTGAATCAATTCTGTACAACTGGTTCCTGTGCCTTTACCTTTAAATGCTAATGAGAATCAAGAATCAAGTATTTGTATTGGGTACCTGCAGCCTCTCTGAGCCCCCCCCCCATTTACTCAGTTTACCTAGTTACCATAGTAAAATGTTACATCTTAGTCTGTTTCCTGTCGCTGTTTTTTTTTTTACATCATTCCCTGCTGTGTCAGAAGGTGAAAAACACACTTTAACTCAGGTTGACCTCACTGACCTTTTTGAGCTCATCACTGACCCTGTAAAACCCCAGGTTTTCTTCAGGACTTTGATGCAGGAGTCAGCAGATGGCAGCAGAGTTTCCGATCAATAAGAGCAGCATCACCGTGATGGAAGGACTGGAAGAAATCCATGACTAAAACAGAAGTTTATTTACTAAGTTGATCTGGCCGGCAGCCATGTTGACGGTGAACGGTGTCTGTCCCTCAGACTGGACTGGACCATAAGAGGTTCTGGAGGCCGAGGCGTCAGCAGTGACTCAGTCCCTCATACAACTGTACTTCACATTAGAGTATCACTTTACTACATGATGTAACCTGTGTGTGTGTGTGTGTGTGTGTGTGTGTGTTGTTCTACAGGACCTGCAGGAGAGTGAAGGTTGTCAGGATGAGCTGGCTCTCAGAGTTCAGCAGCTGAAGGCCGAGCTGGTTCTGTTCAAGGGTCTCATGAGCAACGTGAGCATCAAACCACCAACACACACTGTATACGGCCGGGCTGCTGTTGTCGTTGTTGTTGTTGTGGTTGTTGTTGTTGTTGTTGTTTTTGTTGTCGTTGTCGTCGTCGTTGTTGTTGTCGTTGTTGTTGTCGTTGTCGTTGTCGTCGTCGTCGTCGTTGTTGTTGTTGTTGTTATTGTCGTTGTCGTTGTCGTTGTTGTTATTGTCGTTGTCGTCGTCGTTGTTGTTGTTGTTATTGTCGTTGTCATTGTCGTTGTTGTCGTTGTCGTCGTCGTCGTCGTTGTTGTTGTTGTTATTGTCGTTGTCGTCGTCGTTGTTGTTGTTGTTATTGTCGTTGTCGTTGTCGTTGTTGTCGTTGTTGTTGTTGTCGTTGTTGTCGTTGTTGTTGTTGTGGTTGTTGTTGTTGTTGTTGTTGTCGTTGTTGTGGTTGTTGTTGTTGTTGTTGTTTTTGTTGTCGTTGTCGTCGTCGTCGTCGTTGTTGTTGTTGTTATTGTCGTTGTCATTGTCGTTGTTGTCGTTGTCGTTGTTGTCGTTGTTGTTGTTGTCGTTGTTGTCGTTGTTGTTGTTGTGGTTGTTGTTGTTGTTGTTGTTGTATCTCTCCCAGACGTCGTTCTCCTGATGGTTCTGTCTGGCTCTCCCGTCTCTCCAGAACCTGTCGGACCTGGACAGTAAGATCCAGGAGAAGGCCATGAAGGTGGACATGGACATCTGCCGGAGGATTGACATCACCGCTCGTCTCTGTGACGTGGCTCAGCAGAGGAACTGTGAGGATGTGATCCAAATGTACCAGGTACCGGGGTTTGACCTCACACTTCACGTTCTCTGGCCAGACTAAAAACATTTATTATTATTTATTTCCACTGCATCTTAACGTTTTGCAGAAACAAACCATTTCATAAATCTGTGATTTTATTCACTGTCTGTGGTGTCGTCTCCTAGTAACAGAATCTGGACCTTGTGTCTACAGGTGCCTAACAGCCAGTCCACCTTAAACTGCCGTCGGAAACAAACTCCTCTGTCGTTTAACGGCAGCGAGTGTGACGAGCCTGTGAGCACGTCTGAAAGTGACGGGGGCGTGGTCAAAGACGAGGAGCACCGCGGCTCCTCGGCCAATCAGATCAACGAGGAGATGCAGAGGATGTTGAACCAACTGTGAGTGGACCACCTTAAAATATCAAATATCAAATAACCAACTCCACTGGTCGTCTGTCTGCATCAGCGTGTGTGTGTGTGTGTGTGTGTGTGTGTGTGTGTTTTCATCCAGACGTGAGTGTGAGTTTGAAGACGACTGTGACAGTCTGGCCTGGGAGGAGACTGAAGAAACGCTGCTTCTTTGGGAAGACTTCCCAGGATGCACTTTGCCTCCTGACCCCACCCACCCAACGGGAGAGGTTGGTTGTTGGTTGTGTTTACACGTTACATTTTTGTGGGTTGATGTGAGTCATTTAAGAAGAAGATTAGAAGGAATTTGTTACAAGATTTTTTTAAATAAGTTTAATCACATTTAAACATTTGCAGATTAGTTCAAACCCACAGTTTGTAGCCTCTGCTGGAACAGCTGTGTAAGGACATGAACTCAAAGCTGATTGGACAGAAATGCCACAGTGTCTGACTGGTAACTCACCACCAGTCAGACCAACACATCTCAGCTGCTGAGTCCTCCTTTATTTCAACACATGTAATCTGAGTCTGTCCATCAATGAGAAATGCTCACCCTCCCCCCCATCTCCCCCCCTCTTCTCCAGCAGGAAGACACTCTGGAAAAAGTCATTAGTGACACAGAGTGTCTGTTCAAGTCCCGAGAGAAGGAGTACCAGGAGACCATCGACCAGATCGAGGTCAGATCTCTGTTAATTATAATTATTTTATTGTGATTTTAAATGCTCGTTTGTGTGTGTTAGTATTCATTTTTCTAGTCTTGTATATGAATTTAAAAATAAATAAATAAATTCAGCAGTCAGACCTGTCTCTCTCTCTCTGTGTCTGACTGTAGCTGGAGTTAGCCACGGCCAAGAGTGACATGAACCGACACCTGCACGAGTACATGGAAATGTGCTCCATGAAGAGAGGCCTGGACGTCCAGATGGAGACCTGCAGGAGACTGATCACACAGAGCGGAGACAAGTACAAACACACACACACACACACACACACACTATTCTTTAACCTTACAGCTGCAGCTGCTGGATGCCTTCACAAATGCACCCACTTTTCCCCGAGTGTCAGTTTTTAATAACTTCAAACTGACAGAGTCACTGCAGGTATTTGGGTCTGTGAACGTCGGCAGGTTTTTACCTTTCTGTAGCGACTGATAAGAACGTCGGGATGACATGTTTTCCAAAGTTAAATAGATCCACTAGGTGGCAATATTGCAGCCCACAAGTTGTTGTTTTTATGTGGTTAAAACCTGACATGGTGAAAACTGCTGTGTCAGCACGAACTCTGTATTTACCATGGAATAACGTTAGGATCTCAAGTCAGGAATACTGAAAGCCGAGTGCTGACAGCTCAGACTTTCACACTCCAGTTGTGGTGGTGGTGTTTTAACGTTTTATTTTCCCCTCTCTGTGTCGCAGCGGCTCCGCGGCTCCTTCGTCCTCAGACGAGAGCGACCAGAGAGAAAATGACAAGTCCTCGGCATCACCGTCGTCCTCGTCCAACAACGGCAGGTCTTGACATCCCCTCAAGCCCGCAGTCATGTGACCTCCACTGCATCTAATTATCAACCTCCACATCAACGCAATATATCCTAGCAGCTAACGCCACACCTCGTTTACATCCGCTCGTCCTCATCGTCCAGACTCGCATCATCCTGGGACGGAGCTGTGAAAATGTTGTGCCACCGAGTGACTCTTGAAAATCGGCGTCAGGCGGCAGGAATGATGTCACTCTGCATATGAGGCAAGACTTTTTCACTCCACAGTAACCATCAACCAATAACCTGCACACACCAATCTGTATCCACCATACTGCACATGTCAGAGTCAGAGTCGGAGTCCGTTGTCCGGCTCTGGTTCTTTACGTCATCGTCACCAAAGGTTAAAGGTCGGTGGTCTTGGTAGTTACAACGTGAGAGAGCGCCACTGTGATTTTCTTTATTTGTTTGTGATTGTTGTAGAGGAGAACGAACAGGAGCTTTTACAGAATGACATGATGTCAAAGATCAGCGTTTTACTGCCCCCTAGCTGCAGAACTTCATCATAACAATCATAACATCCTCGCATCAATTAATTATAAAACACAAAAATAATTTTAAAAAAATAAAACGAACAAGCAAAAATGACATCATCTGTGTGAACAGGAAGTGCAGCAGGCGCTAGGCTGACTGACGTGCTGCGTCTACTTTGGACAAGTTAGGGACTCCTCTGTGTGATTCAGGTCAGTTTGACTGTAAAGTCCACGTGAGCAGCACCTTCTCAGCACCGTCACCTCAGTACCAGCATCTGTGGATACTTCAGCTCAGCTCAGGTACACGCGTTATCGTTACCAAAACATTCAAAGTCAGAAAAAGCTCAGCCTTGAAGTACAACCACTGAATATTCTGGCTGTTTTCAACACGTATCTCTGTCGTACTGATGTCACTGAGTCGTAGGAAAATACAGTCGTGAGAGGAACGAAAACATTCAGCTGTTGTTCTTCCTCCGCCTGTTGGATACAACGATTGTAGTGTTTGTAGAGTCTCCATCACTTCCTTCCTAATGTGATTCAGACTCATTGTCTTGATCTGTTTTGAATTTGGGTCAATAAAGTCTGACCTGGTGAAACATTCCTTTCCCACAGTGGTTAGGCAAATGTTGGTCAATACAGGAAGTGGCTGAAGAGAACAGACGTGTGACTTATTGAAGAAACACGAGTTGGTGTCCAAATCATGTTGCATTACATTTTCCTTTGTATTTTTTAACTTTTGTTTTCATTTAAATTACAATTGACATTTTCCAGTCGTGTTGAACAACAGATATGAGAACTCAAGATGACTTTTTCTCTCAGTGGTACTCGGTGAACAAACATGAATCAGCGCCCAACAATCGAATTGTTTGTGTTCTGTTCAACTGTCATCTCCGTCTGGGAAACACGAACGCAGCTGATCTGGAGTTAGCTTTGACGGACAGGTGTCACACAGGAGCTGTGGATGAGTTTTATTTTCAGTATATATATTTCAGTAATGCTTTAGTGTACGAGCAAGGTTGCATGGTGAATGTTTTTACGGATGAGGTGCGATGGTGGAAAAATATTGTATGTAATTTCGCTGGTAAGTGCCAAAATGAAGGTAACTTCATTATAAATAAGCAGAAAAATGCTGAAAAAAAAAATGAATTCAATATAGCTGCTGAAGCTATTCTACCACGGTGCTTGATGTATATAACTAAACCTATTTTTGAGCCTATAAAACTATCAAAGTTTGCACATAGAAAGGAAAAGCAGAGCAAAAATGTATAAAACAATCATTACCGATTCTGGCAACGCACTACAAATAGAAAATTATATTTCTTCTATTTGCATTTCCTCACTTTTTAAACATTACATTGGGGTTACTGAAACAACGAAGGTGAACAAATACCTCATTTTTATTTTATTTACTTCAGGCACATTGATACATGATTCGCTCACACACTCACTGCTGCTGTAAAACTGTAAATACAGAGGGCGTCCTTCATCAGAGCTTTATCATCATGTGTCTAAATGAAGTCCCGACTGCGAGTTACCTCCAGGTGATTTTGTGTTTTGTCTGTTTTCCTCATAACTCTTCAGATGAACTGAGGAACTGACTGAGCAGGTTTTATTTTGATCCACTGAGTGAGCCTCTGTATGCATGTGCTAATGTGCGTGTTCTTTTGTTTTTTGGTGTGTAAATGTACTGTGAGTTTAGATTTACTGGGACAACATGTACCACACGCAACACAACTATCATATTATTTAGATATTTTGACATTGACGAGTCTTTGAAGAGTAACCCTAACAGAAGTGTAGTAGCTGTATGAAGTCGGTGGGCTACACCGAGTGGGTTTCCAATTAGAGGCAGTTTAAAACTACTTACGGTTTAAGACATGAATTATTTATGCAAATGCTTTAGCGAAACGACTGTATGACGGCTTTGATGTATGTGTAAAGGAAATACAGCCTTGAAAATGTATATATCTATAAATAAAGTCACGATTAAAGATTGCACAGAGAATGTATACAAATGTTACAAAGGAAGAGAAAAGCTCACACGGATGTTAACGCGTGACAGCGTAAACCTTGTCATGGAGGTTGTTTACTTCTGCTAACAGCAATGCCCTAAAACATGTGGATCACATCCGGTGTCATAAAACAGGTTCATGATCAAACTGAATGTAGATCCAGAATTCCAGATGTGATGCTGCAGCTTTAAACATCAAGGCAAAGCCAAAACGCTTCGCTGCAGAGCAACAATATGTAATGTGTCAAGAGACGGAAAGAATAAAAACTGAAGATGAAACTGAAGAACATGTGGATGGTGTGATTTTGTTCAATGATTTGGGTTTATTGCACGATTGGCCAGATAGTGGGAGAGTGGCTATTGCACTTGCCTTACAGCAAGAAGACCCTGTTATATAAGTAGTTGGAAACCTGCGGACTTTGGGTCAAGTACCGACCGTACGACTCACCACCAAAATTTCATTCATAGATTTGTATTTTAAAAAGGCCGCTAAAAATGTAGACGTCGATGTAGATGTAAACGTCAATTATTATGACGAAATTGTGTCATCGCGATATTTGTATTGACTTGTTTAGAAAGTTAATATCCGTCAACATCGCCTCTGATTGACTACAACCGATTGCCGTGGTCGTTGCTTTAAACGAGTGACATCAAACTGCACACATTGGCACAACATGCGTATTGTGTCAAATAAAAGCAAAAATAATTGTTACGTACTTCGCCATTGACTGCTGGAATAAATACTTTAAAATGTCTACTTAAAGTGGCTTCTATGTTTTATTGTGTGGCATTTGTAGAGACGACTTTTTTTTCTCGCGAGATGTAGCACCGCGGCAAATAAATGTTGGACAAGAAAGGAGGTTTCTACGAAATATGGCATTTCGTCAGAAGAAAAATGGACAAGCGATGTTTTTGTTTTTATTAAACTCCCCACTTGGTTGTGAAATATTGACGGCGATGAAGAAGTCCGAAGTGAATCGATGTTATAATACAGAGCTAAGAAGCTAAAATGCTAGCCTGATGAAGGCGCCGAACTCCGTCGGAGTTTGGATGCACAACAACCTGCAGAGGCGACGTCAAGTGGACCGCTTTTGTGGTGAGTGAATTGATAGTAAAGTTGCTCTGTACCTCAGTCACTCAGTGGCTGATGTACTGTATTTTATGTACATGCTATGATGGTGATCGGAGTTACAATTAAAAGTTGTAGTCTCATTAACGATAGGGCAGCTGTCGAATGATAACAATTAATCACGATTAATCATGGTTAATCGAGAAAGATCAACATTAAATATGACAATTTCTTTCTCTACATTGCTGGAACAGACAGAACAACAACAGCAGCTACAAACATTTACAAATACTGTGTTTCTTCCATTCATAAATCAGTTTCTTCATCCATTCCTTCTCTGTCGACCATGTTAGTGGTCGCACGACTCAGTGCCAGCCGATGATATTTTCTCGACACTGATTTACAACAAGTAACATGCCACTGAGCAACTTCTTTCCATAGGAAAACGTGACTTTGACAAATACATCCAGTGCCTTGGTTCCATTTGTGTTTCTCAATGAAAGGGTTGTTGTGTCACTGTTTCATGTCAGGGCTGCAGTTTGTAGACTCAGAACTCATCTTGGACACTTGAGTCATATGTCAATAGGTTGGTCACATTTCCCACATACTTCCTGGACAGGCTTGGACACGTCGTCATCCTTGGGGCACTGAAGCACTGATGGTTTTTAAAGAAATGTGAAATAAAGTGGACAAAAAGAAAGAAAAAGGTAGACCATAGTCATGGTTAAAACAAACTATTAGCCGTGCATTTCAAATAAAACACAAAGTTAATGAGATCTAATGTATTTAATGACAGTCTACTCACCACGCCTGGATCTGATCCAATGCAGAAATGGCTTTAATTTTGTTATAACAAAGAGTGCAGTAACTGAACACAGGAGGGCCGTAACAACCAGGAACCACACTGTGTCTGCAGGAAAGAAGGAGAGAGACGTTGAGGACAAGAGTCCATGAACCAACACCGAGTCTAATGGCTTCATCAGTGTGGAACAGGACTGTACCCAGGATCGGCTTAGTGGACACAACTCTTTGTGTGAAGAGGGTCTTGGAGGTGAAAACTATAAATGATAAATAGATGTCTTGATATCCCTGCTCAGACCCCCCCCCCTCCCCCCACTATTGTGAAAAGAATCTTTTAAAGTCTTTGTCACACACCTGTAGTGGTGGTGGGAGGCTCCGTGGTAGTGTGTGGATCCAGAACACACACTGTGCAGCGTCTGTTGTCCTTGCACCTGTAGCCAGCTTTACATCTGCACACAGCGTTGTGTGTGCCGTTACAGTGTGATACATACTCAGTTGTTACTGTGGGGAAAAAAACAGACAAATGGTTTTTTTTTTGTATTTTTTTGCTAACATTAAAATTTTAAATCATCTCGGTTAAAATTAAATGTTTAGAAGAGCTCATTTTACTGTTCAGAGACAAACAGTCAGTCCTTCAAAATAAACATGGGATGGATGTAAATGTATCTGTGTGATGACAAGAATCTGATGATAATAAAAGAAACATCAATGAACATTCAATGATGCAATTCCGGCACAACCTGTACAGAATGTTAACTGGTGTCATGGATAAAGAACGACCAGAGAAGATTATATAAAAGATGAATTAAATGAAAGATTCACAGTTAAAGTTGAGGACCATCAGTGCTCAGTGGTGACGGTCCTTGTAAATGCTTACATTTTCATACGTTCGTACACATACTTTCTCGCTGCTGTGTGCTTTCCCTCGTCTGTGTGACATTTAAAACAAGCACAGCAGGCTGTTTTGCTGAGCCGTAGCAGCTGCGTAGACCAGGGTTATCAGAAATGACATTTGTGTCTGCAGCTTTTTCCGATGTTTACCACATTTTAGGGTTTTTTTCCCCCAGACATAAGAGCGCTCTACTTTTTTTCGAATGCCTCCTTCGACGGTGTGATGTTGCTGACAGTTGAGCAGCCCCCCAAACCCTTCTTCTATCTTTGTGTGTCCCACCATCTACACAGAATGGGAAATCCCCTGCTTTTAGTGCCATTGGGCAAACACACACTTCTCTAGAGTTACAACATAGTTTCATCATGAGTTGACATTTGACTGAGTTGCTGGTCACATCAAATGTTGAAAAGTCATTCTTGACATTGTTCAACTCCAGAAACAAAATCATTTCTCAAAACTACCATCAAAGATAACAAACTCATACCTCCTCGTCCTAAAACTGCGTACTCTCTTACTCTTGATGTCAGACTGAAGTAGTTTGGAGTACAGATGTCCAACGACCTCCAGTACCCCTGCCCGTTTACTATAGGATCTTCTAGCATCATTGCCACGTCACCATGATAACGACGCTGTTCAAACGCATGACAACTGTTTCCTGCAGCCAATGAAAAACTGACACAGATGCATCACCATCCCATCTACAGTCTACTCCATGTGCAAGGCACCAGGACTAGAACCAGGGACTTAAGTTCAAAAACAACACAAACATATAGCGTACATTTTCCCTGCAAAGCACCAGAGGGAGTCCAGGTACCACAAGATGTACACACACCATAACTTGAGAAACCCTTTAGAAAAACAATTCACTTGTTTTGTTCAAATCCCCAATTAGTAACCAAATCAGCTCAACTTTTTTTTACCAATGCTAAAGTAATAATTTCTATTTTTTTGTTGTTGTTTTTATTATGACTTTTTTATTTCAAAGTGGAATTACTCACAATTGTCGCATTCTTCACACCGTTTGCACCACAGGTCTATGTTGTACGAGTCGCTGTATAAGTTCTCTGAACAATTCCCGCACTTGGTGCCGCAGGTGTTTTCGAGACGTGCCTGCATATATGTCCCTGTGCACAGTAGAAGTTCAAACAATTAAAAAGACTCTTTACTAAAACGTTGACTCATGGATATCGCTGCAGAGACGTCCTACCTGGTTTACACATTTCACAGCAGAACCTGGGCGACTCTGACGGCCAGGCGTACTGGCTCGGACTGCACTGAAGTGAGAGCTCGGCGCAGAGGAAAGGCAGACAGCACAGGAGAGTAAACCACACGTAACGTGTCTGCATCTGCGGGGAAAACGAAAACAAGAAAAAGGAAGAAAGGAAGGAGGAGGACGAGCAGAAAGGAAAAGATGAAGAAAAAGGAGGAGTGTGAGTAAAAGTTCTCTTTCACGGTGGCGTTTTACTACAGACAAATCCAGTCAGTGAAAACTTGAAATATATAATTCTGTAAGAAAGATTAAAAAAAGGAAAAAACACAAAAGAGAACATTCTAATACTAATAAAAGTTCTGGCTTTTTTTTTTCAAATGTCACATACTGTGTTACTTACCCTGGAGCAGAAGATGAGGTGTAACCTTGTCGCCTGGGACCCTCTCTGTACGAGACTGCACAGGGGACTAAACCGTGTCAGGGGTTTCATAGAACTGGAGGTGACTCATTATGAAACACTAAGACACTGAGAGTCTCTGCTCTGTCATCCGGTCCTCGTCGACCCCCCATTGATTCGAACCAAGAAAGCTGCTCTCCTTCAGCCGCTTTTTGAATTCTTTTTTCCACAGGAACCTTTTCTCTCATTTTAGTCCAAATCAAACTCGCGGCTCTAGAAGGTCTTTAACCACCTATATTACAATTTCCTCTTCCAGAGAGCTCTGCAGTTAAACACCTTTCCTGGAAATGATGGTACTGAGAAGCTGATGGTAATCACAGTGACACACCAGTGACTAATTAAAAGGTCTATTACAAATTCAGAAACAACTGACTAAGAGTGTTTACTTTTAGTAATGGCATGAGAAGAAACTTGAGATGGATATATATATGTATATACATATATATATATGTATATACATACATATACATATATATATAGTTGGTTCCACAGTGTAGCAGTTAGCACGCCTGGCTCGGAAGCGGAGAGTCCTGGGTTCGATTCCCAGAGGAACCACATGCTTGGCGCTTGCTGGGGGCTTAGTGGTTAAGGAAGCAGACTTGGGTCTGGAAGGGTTCCAGGTTCGAGTCCACCAGCTGCCAAGTCACCACTGAGGTGCTCTGAGCAAGGCACCGTCCCCACACACTGCTCCCCAGTGGGCGCCTAAAGCCACTGTTTGGTGATGGGTTAAAAGCTGAGGTCACATTTGGTTGTGTGTTCAGTGGTGTGTGTCACGATGACGGAACAGCAACAACTTTTCCTAAAAATTGCCACGTATCTATTATGCACATGGATCACTGCGTTTGACCAAACCAGTAAACAACATAGAACGAGGGGGTGGGCCGTGGTTGGCCCACAGGCCTCGAGTTTGACATATGTGCTGTAAAGTGTATATAAATGAGAATAGGACCGAGTGATTTGGACTCTTCTTCTTCTTTTTCTTTCTGACTGACTGTGAGAAAGCTAACTGCGCTAAGTGCTGTGTGTTGTTCCTGCAGGTTTAGCGCCACCCAGACCACAGCATGTGAACGTGTCGAGTCAGTTAAGGCCACACACAGCATCGTTCTGGGTGGACCTCCATCAAAGCGTGACACTCGGTGCACATCAAACGGAGTTCAGTTATGACTTGACGAGAGATGACTTGGCAAGATACCTATCAGTGTGGTGATACGTGATGTCAGCTTTGATGTTTCGTGCAGTTCAACTGTAGGAATAGTTGTTAATGAAATACATAGGAACGTGCATGTTTACGTGGTGATTGTGTGAACGTGTGTCGTGAATGTATGAGAAACACGCTGGTATTTATTTAATCTTTGAAATGGAAGGATGTGGTTTTTCAAAGGAAGTATTTGTCTTGCTCTGCTGACAGAGCTTGTGTGCTTTTTTTTACGCTCACTGCTACACACTGCAGACTGGTAACTCTCCTGAACCGTCTTCACAGAATAAATAATATAATCCCAATAAAAACGTCTTTGTACTCCGAAAGTCGAAAAGTCCGGTAACAAACCTGTCTGAGTGTATGTGTATGAAGTGAGGACGTTCACTCTCCTCCCATAGTCCATGTCACATGGCAGCTGTAACATCCAGATTCCACACGCTGCCATTTGGGAATAAACAAAGAATTATTTCAACAATCACATTTTTCATTAAATGAACAAAGCACCAATTAACTTATAGTATTTATCCACAGGCACCATTTTATCTCCATCCTTTATCACCCTTACCTGCTTCAAATTTCATTGCGTCCAGTTGTTTTATGGTTGAGCCAATCAAAAACAAGACATGGTTTTGTGGAGTTTAAACCTCTCATCCCGGTCATCAGTGACTTGTTTCTTCTTCTTTGTCAAAGTCCTTTATGGAATCTAACCTGACAGTACGACCAGGCTTTACTGCAGGTCAGAGTTTGGTCGAACTGTTGTTTTTATGATAAATAGGATCGTCAGATCATAGAACTTACATAGAACTTATTAATCAATGCATGTCACTGAGGAAAAACATTTGTGTTCATGTGTGTCTCACTCTTCGTGTTTCCTATTGTTGTTTGGACAACGTCTTCTTTTGAGGACATTTCTCTGGTCCCCGCTGAGGACGAGGATTGTTAGGTTGAAGATTTGTTTTGCGTTAGGACTTCGTTCAGTTGTTGTGATGAATGTCAGTCTTTGGAGATGAATCATGTTTATCTGAAGTCAGTGTGAAGTACCCACAACACACAAAAACCTCTGAGTGTGTGTGTGTGTGTGTGTTCGTTCTTCTTGCCAAGTGAAATTCTCAATTCCTTGAAACGTACACGTGACGCAGTCTTTTTACAGTTTAGCCCCGCCTTCTCGTCGCCAGTCTTCCTTGGATCCTGCGCTCTGGGGGCTCTGTCTTGTGAAGTTTGAGTGTACGTTACAGCTACGTTAGGAATACCAGAGGTTCTGAGGTTCTGACTTGTGGAACTTAGGAGAAGCAGAGTCCCAGGACGTGTCTGCAGTTGTCCCGGTAAGTGACGGTAAAACTGCTTATACCTGCGCGTGGGCTGAGCGGAGTCATATTGGACTTATTGAGGCTACGGTGGGCGTAATGCGGTTCGAAGTGGCGTTAAACCGAAACCAAAGACAGAAGAGATAATAACTGTAAACTGTTGATTCTTGTCTCATCGTTTCACTGTGTACTCATCTAAAATCGTTTTTGTTAGAGTGACGAAATTCCGAAAACATCAGTTTGACTATTACTCATAAAATATGTGAATTTTGTTGTTTTTTTTTATACTGAAAGTAGTTCCTGTGAAATGAGTGACAAAATGACAAGAATAGTTGAATACAAGGAATTGGTTGTTTTGATTGATTATTTATGTGTTGGCAACAGTTCCACAGGTGAACGAGACACTAGAACTATTTGTTCCTTAAGTATCAGGAGTTTGATCGCGTCGTGTTGAGAGATCGAGGAGGAGCTCTGTCAGTTCAACTGGCATAGGTCCGTCTGTGGACTGGTCCGTCTGTGGACTTGTCCGTCTGTGGACTGGTCCGTCTGTGGACTTGTCCGTCTGTGGACTGGTCCGGCTGTGGACTGGTCCGTCTGTGGACTTGTCCGTCTGTGGACTGGTCCGGCTGTGGACTGGTCCGTCTGTGGTTCACGTTGAGACAGACAACTAATCGTTGTATTAGCCATGACTAATTTAACAGTGATTAAAACAGTGATAGTAGGACTAGTAATAAAGCGTCACTAATTAGTAAGACCCCCCCCCCCGCCTCACCTCCTCATGATGGTCCCCGATTTGTTGAATATTCTCATTTGAAAAGATGTTTAAAAAAATTAAAATATAAAGAAAAACAGAATAAATGTGTTGAGCTTTGTTATGGCGGAAATAAAACGTGTGTTTCCATGGAATTCATATTTGTCTTAGTGATTATTTTATTTCCTCGTGTTTTTTGCCACACCTCGACAACTGCTCCGTGAAAATGTTGTTTATCTGTAGCTCAATAAAGGTTCAGTGACCTTTGGTCCAGTTATTTCTAATAATACCACAATAGACTGAATGAATGCAAGAAAAATATAATGTTTAAGTCCCAATTATGAGGTCAATGACAGATTTAGTCCAGAACAAAAAAGCAATAATTAAATATTTGATATTCAGTAAATTAGTTTTTTTTTTTTAAACTTAGTTCCTTTTATCTTCGATAGAGTTCAACAGTTATAGATAAACTGATGGTATAATACAGTTTATCTGCGGGCAACTTAAAAAAAACAACAATATATTTATTGACAATAAAAGAAGGCCCCTCCTGTTGGTGGTGTTGTTGTGAGTTTCTACTGGTCAGAAAAAATGTTTGGTAAACGTGGAATAATCCTTGTGTTTTTCCTCTTCCTGTCAGAGACGTTTGACTGACTGTTTGTTGACTGTTGTGCAGATGGCTTCAGATGGACTGAGTTGAACCTGTCCCATCATGGAGGAAGTCGGTCACAGACACGTACACGCGCTCCTCCTGATGGTGAGAAAACCTGCGTAGAGCTGTGTGTCACTGAGGGACGCTGCCTTACTGATGACGCCACTTGTTTTGCAGTGTTTGTTCGTCCCCGTGTTAGGACAGGGTTCGGAGGAGCACACCTGTCCTCCAGAGGACTACAGCCCCAAGGCGGGGGTTTGTTGTAACAAATGCCATCCAGGTAGAGAAACGTTACTCAGAAGTGGAATGACGACACCGGCGCGTGTTGTCGGATGTTTCGTAAGGTTATTTTCCGTCTTTAGGATGTTAACGTTTGTCGTTCGTGTCTCCTAGGTTTCAAGCTCGTGGAAACGTGTAATGCTACTGGTCAGAGAAGTAATTGCGTCCCCTGTCCGCAGAGACAATTCATGGACAAGAAGAACTTCTTCCGCTACTGCAGAACGTGTCGACGGTGTAAAGGTAGAGCATCAGAGTCAAAAACTGAAGAAAAAAAAAGTCTGATCTCACTGATGACCTGGTTCCTAGCTGTCAATCACACAGTGTCCACTCGATGTCCAAACTAATTTAAAATTTGGTTTCAAAATTAATTATTGTGTTAATTTTTTTTTTTTTAACAACCCAAGTTTCTTATCATGAAATAAGTACCTTCACTGATACGTCGCTAGGCAGTGTTCCAGATGTGACATGGTTCTGTGGGTGTGACCTCAACCCAAAGTACAGTCAGGACACCAGGCAGGAAAGAAAAACTCAACATCAGTTTCTGTTTCTTATTTCTCAATAACAGAAGAATGAAACAAGTGTTTCTGTATTTAACAGAGTTGTCAGACAGACACTGTCGTCAACTCATCAACACTAATGGGTGAATCACAAAGTGCTTCCACTACCAACTGTTGTGCAAACGCACCGTGCCACTGGCTGCAGTGACGACCACTGTTCAGGGGAAAAGCCCAGACAGAAGTTCTGTTGACGTGTCATCTGTTCCCGTGAACTGATTTGACAACAGGCAGCGCTGAGCTCCAGTGGGTCCTCAGTGTGTCTGGTCTACCTGTGTGTGTCTTTGCAGCGACGGCCAGGTGGCGCTGTTTTAAAAAAACCTCTGAGTCAGTTTGATATTTTTCTAATCATTTTTGTTTCTGTCTCTTGAAAACTTTCCCGCAGAAATAAAAAAAGAATATGAGATATCTGCCTGTACAGCAGAAAGCAACACCGTGTGCCAGTGTAAGGACGGCTACTACAGGTACAACATCGACGCCGAGACGTATGAATGTCGCAAATGCTCCCAATGTCCGTCTGATGAAGAAGAAAAACACATTTGTAAGTGTTTTTCTTTTTCTTTTTTGTGACAATAATTTTAATGAAATCACAGGAGAGTGGATGTATATGTGTGTATGTATTTATGGACATGGATGTTCTTCTTCTCCTTCCTCAGGCACACCTCTGAACAACACCGTCTGTGAATGTAAGAAGAGTTTCTACAGAGTCAACAAGAAATGCCAACCTTGCAAAACGTGAGTTTCTTTCCATCCTGCCCTTTGGGGCAGAACTATTTCAGACTCTTCTGGGGAAGCTGGTTTGTGGAATAGAAACTTGCAACAAGCTTCCGATTTAGTTCTTTTTTTTTTTTCTACTCGTTTGGTGAGAGGCGAGAGAAGTGTGAGGTTGTAAAACTGGACGTAAAACTAGTTCTGGTGTCGTTTGTCAGACTTTGTGTCTTCAGGGCTGACATTGTGGAGGTTTATGTATTAAAGCTGTGTTGTAATAATGTAAAAGACTGAAGAGGAAGTTGTTTTAGAAGGTTAGAGAAACTAAAGGAAGTTGGGGCTAACATTAAAAAAAAAAAAAAAAACTCCTGTGCAGTGGTTTCTGTGAGGGTTTCACAATCGCTCGGCCCCGTTTACTGTGTGTGAGAAAAGAAGTTCTGGCCTTGTTAGCAAACACTTCCTTTCAACAAATGGCTACTTCCTCTTCAGTGCTGTTAAACGTCCTCTCTGTTCCCCACAGTTGTTCCTCTCAGTGCCCAGAGTGGTGTTCGTCAGCGACGACTCTGACTACAACGGGTGAGCACTTGTAACAGATACATAATTTACACTGACGGGAAAGTACGATGTTCTGGTGACAATAACACAGGAAGAGTGTAGAATGCCTCCACTGGGAGGCGCTAGAATAACAGGAAGATTTAAAAAAAGGAAAAAGCTAAGCAGGTTCAGGACAACTATGACCAACAATTATGATTAACATAAAGAGACAAAAAGTATGTGTTTTTTTAAAAACGTTTTTTTTTTTATTCCTGTCTTTTTGTTTCCTCCTGAAGCAGGTGACCCAGATAAAGTCTTCCTCGTCAACCTGATCGCTGGAATTGGAGTTCTTTCCCTGGTTCTGTTGGTGGTGGTGGTTCTGATCACGTACCTGGTCACGAAGCGCTTCACCCAGAACAAGCAGCTGACGACCCCCTCCCAACCTGTCGACACTTCCCCAGAAACATCCATGGTACAGCGTGACCTACAGACAACCACTGACTTCTTCTTCTTTTCTAATTTGTTTCTCAACCTTTTTTTTTCTTCCTTTTTCTCATCAGTTTTTGATCAGCCAGGACGAGGCTCCGTACAGCCCAGACCTGAACGCCGTGCCTGAAGACCATGTGGGGGGGCACCAACCGTCCAACCTGCCCGACTGTGTCCCTCTGGAGATCAACAGTGAGTACATTTGATATCAGCACGGCTGGGTGTGTCCTGGCTCAAACACACTGCCGCTCATTGTTATGACTTCCTTCCACTCTAATCACACCCACTCTCTCCTTCTACCGCCCCCCCCCCCTCCTCCCCCACAGTCTCTGAACTCATCTACACGGTTCTGGATCTGGTTTCTGTGCCGCAAGTGAAACAGCTGGTGCGTTTGCTCGGAGTGAGGGATACGGAAATCGAACAAGCCGAGATGGATTACCGCCACTGCCGCGAGGCTAACTACCAGATGCTGCGGATATGGGCCGAGAGAGGCGCTGGTCCGAGTGGAGCGGGACGAGGTGGGATCCTCCTCCACGGGCCTCTGTTGGAGGAGCTGTTGGAAAAACTGAGGGTGATGGCCCTGGGAGGAGTGGCCGAGCAGCTGGAGGACACATTTGGAATTCAGTAATCCACTACTGCCTGCTAGGTGGAGCTCATGAGACCAAGTATTGTTTGCTAAGGACAACCTGAAAAAAGACGCGGTGCTCAAACCAAAGAACCATGTTAGATATAAACCAGCATCGGTGATCACTAGTCAACTGATGTTAACCCATCAACTCCTGGCTGAGTAGACTGGACGTCACAGCCCGTTCTCAGGACCGTGGGTTTTTCATCTTTAAGTACTTTATCAAGGATAAGCAGAATACCAATGATGAACACCAGCCAACACAGGAGAAGTGGGCTGCACCCCACAGGACCTCGGTTCTAAAAGCCAAAGCTCTGATACCCTAACCCTTCTCAGGCCAAGGCTTTTCAAGTAGTGGCTCGCAGGCATTGCGTGGCCCAGGCACAACCTGACAATGGCCCAAAGAGGAAAGTTGTCCTATTTTCTGCAGTAGAACAGACCGTGAATGGAAGCATCGCAGCTAGCATCACAGCTAGCATCGCAGCTAGCATC